GGTGTATTTGGTGGGTTGTTTCACCACGTATTTCTTGACCCATTTCGCCTTTCGGATTTCCTCACAAATCGATGTGTTTCGCCATGTCTTTGTACACATCCTCGGTACGTATATTCAACAACAAGGAATCGGTGTTCGTGTACAGCAGCTAGCATCGTTCGCCATACTGTTGTTTGAGTCGGTTGTAATAAAAGTCGTACATCAAATGTTTGGACAGGTCGAGAATGCTCATCCCCACGTAGACAGGTCGGTTGAGCTTAATATGGCTTTTGTTCATGTGCAGCGCCGCCAAGTCATTATTGAATAGCTTGCTCCGGTTGAAGGCCGGGCTGGCTATGAGTTTCCTGAGTTTTTCTTCCTCGTGATATCGCCCGTGTTTGACCATCACACGTTTTCTTTAAATTTTCCATGGTTTTGCTGAACTCCAAATTGTTCATCAGTTTGTTGAGATTTTTCTCGAAGTCACTGGTGGCCTGTTTTTGCAGCTCGGTGTTCAGCAGAATGTATGGTTCCATCCAGGGACTTTGATCGGATTGCAGCACCCGATGTTTTTAGTCAGCTTCATGCCCAGCGATAAAGTACAGTTGCAGTTACCGATAGTGCACTACACGTGCTTGGTCCGACAAAGCTTCCCCTTTATTTTGTTTCTTCGTTGTAAGAACGTGAGAAACGTTTCTTCGACGCTGCGTCAGGACCTCGGTAGATCACGGGAGTCTCTGTTTTCACCGTCGCATCTAATGACCACGCACGAACCCGCAGGCTTGGTGTTCTTGCATTTTGTATGTGAAACTGCTATTCGTGTCGGGTGGCGACGTGTCGCGGTCAACCCGTTTGATGAGCAGCGAAGTCAGCATAAATGACGTAAGGCACGGGCATTTGATGTTTTATGCGATTGATGAACGTTGTTTTGATGTTCTCGAGGAATATCGATTCGGATGGCCGTGATCTCCCACTCCTCGGCAATCCTCCCGGTGCGCTTTCCAGCAGGTCTTCTTGCTTGAAACCATGCAGGCATCGTTCGCAGAAGTGTTTCTTTTCCCTGTGGTTTGATTGGTCATACAACAGCCGGGTCAGACTTTTGATCCACGCCAGCGTAGTGATACCGTTGGTCGCCTTTTTCGATGAGAAATAAAGTGATTCTGCACACATCATCGGGCCTGGAGCTGATTCGGTGCATGATTGTCGTATTGCCTTCAGAGCTGAAGACGTTGATGGCTAAACGGTTTTGTTTTTTCACCTTCATCCTTTGAGATGGGTGTGGGTGCGTCTACACCGTCCAAGTTCAGTCCATCGTGTGTGGGATAGCTCGAAGGTGTGTTCGTCAATTTAGAATCGATGGGGAATAAGGCAGATCTCAGCACCCATCTTAAGCAGTGATCGTCGTTGTTTTTAACATTCTCGATGGCTTTTTGTATTCTTGTAATAACGGAGGCAAGCTTCCTAGGTACGATCCGCCTCTGAACGGTAAGCGTGAAGTTCGCTATATCCAAATAGATGGTGATACTTCCCACCACCCACCCGAGCCCATGCGCGTCCATCGTTCCAGCAATTCTTGTATTTTTGTGGTGAATTATCGAGGGTCGAAGGGATCTAGTCTGATTGAAGTACGACTTCCTGCTTGCCTCTGAAGTAAGGCTCGATGGACTCGGTACTGCCATCTGTCTGAAGTTTGGTGAGTGACATGTGGATGGTCAACTGGTATTTGATACTTTTTAAATCATCCAACTCTTCTTCGACTTTGTCGGCGATCAGAGGTTTGACGCTGTTGACGTCGATGTTAGACTGCACGGTCATTTTCCAGCCTCTCAGATACTTACCCACGGCATGGTCTGTTGGCACGAATCTCAACTCGACCGGCTCGGTGTCTTCCAACAAGGTGAGCAGTTGGGGCTTTCCTCATACGAGAATAACCCACCAATCCTCGACTTTTAGCAAGAGCTTTGAGTTCGCTGGCGGTAGTCATGATTGCTATATCCACATGCAAAGTCAAATGTCTAATTGATTTGATATATCCACATGCAAAGTCAAATGTCTAATTGATTTGATATATCCACATGCAAAGTCAAATGTCTAATTGATTTGATATATCCACATGCAAAGTCAAATGTCTAATTGGTTGTTTTCAAAGGGAGATAACTCCATCAGTCTTCTCTTTTTGAAAGAAGCGCTCATCAAATCTTTTTTTAAATTTTTATTCTGAAGAGCCATAATGACATTTCACTCAATGTGTATGCTGCAGTACTCTTCGGTCCTGCATTTCTTGCCGCAAGTCTCGGCTTTTCCCAGAAGCATGTATTGACAACAACAAGGAGCAGGTCTCATCTTCGCTATATGCACTTTAGTCAAATTGTTTGCATACGAATACGGTATGGCTAATCCCTAAGGCCACAAAATCCGCTCCTGGTCTTGTTGTGCCTTTGGGAGGGGTGTAATACTGGGAGAGGGTCGAGCCCTTTGCCGTGATCAGGTAGTATTGTTGCATGGCGTCGTCGACTTCCTTGAACGTTCTGAAGAGCGTGGTTTCGCATTGCAGTTGGGCGTTGATAAAATCGATTCTTTCCACCCGTTTTTTGGGTACTCGGTTTTGCGCGTGCAGCAGTTGCTCCATGGCCAAAATCATGATGTTTCCATTCCGCTTCGATTTCGGCCGCGTTGGACGTGCCTAAATCGGGAAAAGCGATAATTGCTCCCCAAAAAGCCAGGGCGTTGACTAAAAACCACACCGAGCATGATCGCGACCGTGGCAATTTTTTATATATTTTATGCTTTCTTACTTTTATATGCCATCCCCGCCAGTCCCATGTCGAGCACGAGCATGCCCATGTCTTGCAGGTTGTTGAAATCAAGTTTGGGTGCTGGTTGTTTGGTGATCATTTTGCTCAATCGAGCGTAGCCTATGGCCAGCTCCGCTGACCACGACGACATGATGCGCATCGTTGACGACCGTTTTTCCGTCGGGGTTAGGGACATGATTATAACATAACGTGCGGGTTTACCTCCCCTAATTGACCCACGCGGCTGCCTACGGCATACGGAATCCACCGCGGGGTCAGTTTATGATGTTTAGGTAAGCCCCTTTTTCACCGGTGGCTATTTTTATGCCCCCGCCATAAATATGGCAGGGGCATATAGGGTTACTTCCTTCGGTGTCCGTCCGTCCGTCCGTCCGTCCGTACGAAACAGGGAATGTATTCCTATCCACTCTCCAGCATAACTGCTCTGTTGAATTCAAATGAACTATATACATGGGCTTCTCTTGGGACTCTAATGGTGTGCATCCTCATATTTTGTTTTTTTTTTTTTTTTTTTTTTGTAAGTTTAGATACATTTAAACTTAGGTACATTTTGCTGAATTTCTATGATGATAGTAATACGGGATGAAGTCTATCCACTTCTCCACAAAACTGCTCAACAGAATTGAATGAACTCTCTACATGTCTTTGTAGGGACTCTAAAGGTGTGCATGTCATAATTTTTATGCAATTTCTTACTTTTGTCACTTTTACAGATGTTTGAACTTAGTTGAATTTTGTTCTATTCAGCCAGTGTTTGTTCCATCCAACAGGGGTGTATGTTATCCACTTCTCCTCAAAAACTACTTTATGGAATTCTTTTTAGATTACACATGTGCTTTATAGGGACACTAAAGCCATGCGTGCATCTTATATTTTGATTTTGTATTTTTATTTATTTTTCCAATTTTAATGCCAGTTTGAACTTAGATCAATTTTGTTGAATTTCTCTCTGAATATAGTGTTGTAGGGTGAAGTCTATCCACTTTTCCACAAAAGCTGCTCAACAGAATTGATTGAGCTTCTACGTGTGTTTCATTGGAACTCTTAAAGTGTGCATCTCATACCTTGTTCATCCAATTTCTTAATTTTGTCACTTCTACAGATGTTTGAACTTAGTTGAATTTGGTTCTATTCATCCAGTTTGTCCCATACAACAGGGGTGTATGCTATCCACTTCTCCTCAAAACTACTTTATGGAATTCATTTAGATTACACATGTGCTTTATAGGGCCTCTAGAGGTGTGCATCCCATATTTTTGATTTTGTATTTTATTTATTTTTCTATTTTTAATGCCGTTTAAACTTGCATAAATTTTGTTGAATTTCTCTCTGAATATAGTGTTATAGGGATGAAGTCTGTCAACTTTCCACAAAAACTGCTCAACAGAATTGATAAGCTTATACATGTGTTTCATTAAGACTCGAAAGGTGTGCATGTCAAAGTTGCATAGATGTTTATTGAACTTGTTCGTGAATTTTGTTCGATTATTGATCTTTATATGTCTTATGAATGTCAGCGGGGAATCCGTGTCCATGGACACAATTTTTTCTTGACTATTCTTGTGTTTCTTCGTGACGGTATCAATGACTCGGTGGGGTCTCCTCCTCCATCGCAGGAGTCGTTTTGGTGTTTGTCTCCGTCATCTCATATATCAGTAGTCGGACATTTATGTTTAAATTGGCAGTGCCTCGCCGTAATGATCGCCGCGTCGATTTAAGCTAAGACTAAGATTGAAACTCGCAACTGAGGGTGTTCAAGGCGTGACCGATAAATGGATCGACGTCGAGAAATTCGCACAAATAAGGTACGCGGATGAACCCTTGCCCGGTTCGAATTTTCTCTTTCCGGAACTGCAAGGGCTAGACAAGGCCTTGAGAACTATTCGTGGATCGCTTTGTGGACAACATGGCCAAAACTGAAAGAACACGACGATTGTATCGCTTATGGGAGAGACAACCAAACTCGAACAAGCAGATAATATGGGCGACAACATCAACCGACGTCAGATCGAAGAAAGGCTATGTCAGTTGCATGATGAACGATCGACCCTATTAGAAGCGGCGTCATACAACCGAGAAGCGCTTCGATCGAAGATCAGCTGCATGCAAGAAACCATGGACCGAGTCCTCTACGAGGACACCACGTTGGACGACAGGATCCGAACGTTTTTCTGCAAGCAAGGGATCACCATCGCCAGCGTTCTGATGGCTTTGGGCTTCATCGTACCGACCCTGGTGTTAGCACTGACACCACCACCACCCAAAAAATGTGGCGACATCAGAGACTGGATGAAAAAAGCAGTTGAAATTGAAGCCCTGGTGAGACTGGCCGGCAAATCTGCGGAAGCCATGCCCGGCATCTTGGGCAGCATCATGTCATGGTTGCTGGGCTTGTTGTTGAAAACGGTCACATGGCTCGACCAGAACCTGTGGGCGTACATCGCCCACAGAACATCGGCCGGTGTAAGTAGGATATCTTGTCTTACCAAAGCAGCGCTGGCTTCTTTCACGGGAAGTCCATCACTGTAGGGAATACCCAATCCGTGGTTCTTACCTGGTATACGCCAATCTGTGTTCGGAGCAATTTCGAAATTGCCACAAATCCGTTCATAAGCCAGCCGATAGTATGTATTGTTCGATGCATCCCACGCCTGGTCCTGCGGAATCGGGCGCCGATCACTTTCAGGATGCGCCTTATCTGTAGTACACATGAAAATAAAACACGGACCGACTCTGTTCATCGCAACGCATGTCATTCAAGGTCACGCCACACCCCATCGTCGCGCACTACACGGCAAAATTGAGTTGATTCTACCAGAATTGCATCGGGTTGTGAAACCATGCATGGACTGCCTTGAAGTTCAGGACCGAAAGCCTATACTTTGAAAAACATCGATAAAGCGAGATCTTCATGTGCGTGAGATCGGTAGCGGTGACCTTGGTATCGTTTTGAGGATAAATCATTGGCTAATTCTTGGGTGTAACCATATTGAAAGTATACCGCAGTCTCTCGTATATTTGTAATATGAACCTCACGCTCTCGGGAATCACGAACAGCAAGCCTGTTTTACTGCTGCACGCGATCGATAACATGTCGGGGACCTCGAAGTCAACTCTGCGTCGCACTCTGCGATCTCACTTACTACCTATGATGGACGAACATCAGTTAACATCAAGGGAACAACAAGCTATTCATCGATGGAAATCGCCGCGAGTTGTCCGAAGGTTATTACAGTGTGTGCATGCTCAATGATGAAATTTTCAAACCCATGGGAGCCAGCTTCAAACTCAATGAGTGCGAATGGCACGCTGACGTTCACGAATGGGGCAAAAACCCATCCGATTCGGTAGGCCCTTGGAGAGAATGCTCAGGTTGCAGTCAAACAACGTACAACCCCGAGACAGCGTCACGTGTTCGAAATTACAAGCCGTGTGGTCTATCACGAGGTGTTCGTTCATATCGACCGGGTAAGCACGACCGATAATATTCAAGGCGAACGTCCTTCCACGCTGCTGAGATCCGTGCCGGTGAAAACAGAAAAGTGCAACAATGGCAGAACGGAATCGTTTCCGTTCTTACAGTACAGAAAGTTAAAACGGGGCAACATCATGGAACTCAAACTATCTGTTTTAGATATAAAACATAAACCTATGCATATCAGCTATCTCAGCGCCACGCTGCACATCAAACGACCATGACTCAAGCTTCAGGTAATGAAACGGTCATGCAAGTGAGCAAATGCCCTACCACAGCGATCTCCGACCTCGGAGACACGCAGCTTCAACGAACCTGGGGTCGAAGGCAAAATATACGGTTAAGAATTAAGAAGCAACACTTACAGGCGAGCGGAAGTCCGCGGCGATGGTGGTAACCTAGGAGATTTAGACGATGTCATAACCGGAGGGCTTTTGAAAAACACCCAGTACAATCATGTCCTCAATGACAATATCAAATGGTCCCGGCATTTGATGGCAATAAGGCGATTTAGACTATGTCGAGACACGAGGTCTCTTTAAAAAGACGTTCCAGTTCGTCCTAACCAATGATAACCAATGGACGTTGATCTCCTCCCAAATCAACTGGCTACTCGATATCACCCTCATTTCTCCTACGTGTTTGTGGAGTCGAGGGATCACTATTAACCAAAGTCCTCAAAAGGGATTCTCATCGCGGCTTACGTCCCTTCGCAATGAAGGAGTGTGATCATAAGCCTCATCCCAAATAAAGTGGGTCATTTTTGCTAGCGAATCGACCGGATAGTCGAAATACGTGTTTACAGTTGGTGCTTGAATTCAAAGACACGACCGATTTCACACAAGGGGATTCCAAACAATTCTACGCTTTATATCAAAGTCTTTCTTTGGGGAGGCATCACCCGACCGAGATGTTGAAATTATAACAGGAGTAAACCTCCATTTGCCTCGAAAACATCAAAATCACGTTTGCTTGATTTATATACAGAAAACCGTCAATCTTACGCGAGTCTCGAAGGAGTCATGATTAACTTGGAGGATAAAATCGCGCTCACAAAGATTTTTCTACATCCAAAAATCCATCTCATCAGCTAAAAGTTTATGCATGAGAAATTGTCTGAGAATCAATTGAAGATCTTTCATAATACGAGCATAACCATGGGTGATGTTTAAAACCGAATCGAATCATATTGCACGTACCAACCAACAGTAAGTGATCTTTCATATTGAACAAAGGATCATCCAGTGATCTTCGAATTCCTGATCATCCATATCCCTATCTCGTCATGGATGAGGATGGTGATGTCATCGAACTGAAACATAATGGGGCTCTACTGGATGGTTTTATTCCATTCAACGAAAAGATGGTGTACGTATCAACGTTACTAGATCAAACGGATAATATGTTAGTCACCCGCCCTGATATACTGATGCGATTGAAAAAATCATAATTATGAAACCCAGAAACATGGATCAAAGTGATACAAGGTTCTACACTTATTATTGAAGTTTTTCTAAGAGATGACCCCGCAAAAGATGTACCAATTCTAAATGGGTTAAAATATGCTGGTATGATCGCCATCATTATAAACGTTGTTGTGTTTATATACAACCAGGAAGAGCCCCCACCACAAGCCTCAAAGGGGTCATGGTTTTCCTAGAGCCTCTCATTTTACTCGAATACATTCATTTATCCGAGCATATGCACCTCGTCAGCTTAAAGTACATTTGTCGACAATTGTCGGCAGATCAATTGAAGCTTATTTCCTACTTATAATATACTCGAGATGGGATTGTATCCTGCCATGGACGAAGTGGCTCAAACACTTGAAACCGTGGATGGGTTTCGTTTGCGACAGATCAGCAAAATTAAACACCAATTTGAACGAGAACGCAGCGTGTGACTCAGATTGCACCAAAAATACCATCGAGCCGTCAATGCCATCGACGACGTGGACACATCTCTCGTGATTAGGCGTAGCAGGCGTCAGCTTATTATTATCCACCCGTCGTGGCCGTGGTTAGAAATAACCACCGGAGTATCGGGGTGATGGGAATAGCCTTAATTTCATTTCACGTCGTCTGCAACGTAAAGAGCTGAAGCATGGGGAGACCAGGGTGCTGGCCGAAGCCAAGTTAAACACGATCAACGAAGAGTTTCGTTTGGTGATGTCGGAAATCCTAAAATACCGGCAAATGAAAGAAGAGATTCTACCCAAGACTCGGAAAACCGCTGACATCAGCAAAGACGATACAAAATCATTCAAACCTTCCTGACAAAAACAAGGATCTCATCAAAGATTCATCTTAAACTGTTTTTGATGTAAAACATAGCCAAGTAAACCTTGCAACACAAACTGTTCAAGAAACCCACATTAAACTGTTATAGCTAAGTGCTATAGGTCAACCCGACCCTAGGCAGTCAGGCGAGAGCAGCCAGGCAACACCTACTGTTTAGACATTGCTATAGCAACGTGCTCAAGGTCAACCTGACCCGAGAGCAGCCAGGCGAGAGCAGACTGGCTGTATATAAGCTATATAACTCATACTCTTTTTAAAATAATTGATTGTGGCTTCTAACAATGTTTTGAGCTATAGACTGGTTCCCTTTGAAACAATTAATAGTGACCGGTTTAAAACTGGTTTCAAACATTGTTTTCGCTAAACCAGCCAACAACCCTAATACGACATTGAAGTCGACCTTTCCAGAAGTGAAGTGCTGACAGGGGAGACAGCTGTGTCAGTTGCTAGCTCTGTAATCCCTTACTGGTTGGCAGCGGAATAGAAATAGCAGCACTTGGAATCAAATCCGAGGCTCCTAAGTCTGGGCAGCAGTATGATGTCCTCTTCATCCCGACTGTCTTCTTTGGATCTGTCTGATGCTTGAAACTTCTTCACCCGAGGTGAAAAGGATTTCTTGCTTCTCCTAGATTAGTGTCATTCTGCCTGGGCGTGTCTTGTTGGAGGCAGAAGTGGCCGGAGCATGTTGCGGTGGAGAGTTATCACTGGCCCCTGACCACTTTCTTGCTTCAAAGTGTAGACAGGAATGTCCTTGATGAGTTGTTTTACAACAACATAGACATCTTTTTTCCACTCAGTACGCTAACAACCTCAAGAAGCTATGTTGTACGCAAACTGTAGCCGCTTCTTGAGGTTGTTAGCGTACAATTAGTTTGTCCTTGTACAAGGTTGAATCCAAGAAAGGCGTCCGCTGTGAGTCGAGTGTGTGTTCCAAACATGAGGTAGGAGGAAGTAAATCCTGTGCTCTCGTGTCCCGTGCTATTGTAGGGATGGACGAGAGCAGGGAGATAGAGATAGAGATATTCTTTATTTCCTCCATAGTTTGAAGATTACAAATGTATATGTATGTTATACAGTCATATTACTGGCACATGATGGTGAAATACAACAGTTATAAATATTTTTCCATTTACATACAGAATTTGAGACACATATTATAACATTTGCCCACACATCATAGTTTAGCTGGTCCTTTACATCTTCCGGTATTCCGCCAAGTAGAAATTTCAGGAATTCATCATCATCATCGTAGGTCCATAATTTTACAAAGATATTGTCATCGAGTAAGTCACAAATTTGTTCAAATAAGACATTTCTTTTCAGCAATATTAATCTTACAAGACATAAAAAAACGTGCTTTAAAATATCGTGCGCCACAGTGCCATACTCACATTCCTTTGACTGAATGGGAACAGAACCCAGTTTAATAAAAACCAATACGTTTATAGTACCTTGGTCTGTCAAGCGCCAGCTGCCATAGTCGATTTACACCGTCCGATCTTATTGACTGATACCGTATCAATGATAGCCTTGACTGCATGGCATACTCTGCTGCTTTTCTATCACATTGTAAGACCTTTTCCCGTACTATTCTTGACCATTTCCTTTACATAAAAATTTAGAACACACTACATATTGTTTAATTTCTTCCTGGATACCATATTTAGCTAATAATTCCAACATATGAAATAT